TTATGGCACAATAAAGATTAAATTGCCAGAACTTTTGAAAATCCAGTTCTCTAAATGGAGGTACATTTGTGTCGCTCCAATAATGAAAATTTCGTCGATTAAAAATCACATTTTTCGTAAACTACGCTCCATCCGTCCACATAATATTATCCAGAAAAACATCTTATTTATATCGAAATAAAATGAATTCACGGAATTCTACTCTTCGTGAAAAGTCGGTGTCTTCAAGATGTTGAGCTTTGGAAAAGACATATGGATAAAACTTGTGTGGTTTCGTAAAATTCTTAGTATTGATGCCTGAGATATTCACGATTCTAATGCTACTTGTCTGGTAGGTATGCGGCAAAATATTCCAAAATTTCAATTTCAATATTTTTATTGTTGACTACTGGTTTATTTTTCAGCACTCTTGCTCGTACGGATCCATAATTCTTGAAATTTTGTTTAATTTTCTTGACAGTATTAGGTGATGGTTTCTTTTTTCTGAAAATCCGGTCGCAAATGTATCACATGTCCTTGAAATAACTTTATCATATTCTCCGTGAATAATAAATGAATTTGAATAATCTTCGTTTGTGTATTTCATGACGGATATGTAGGTACATATCCGAATTTTAGTGTTGTTTCAATTCACTTCAACAACAACAAATGGCGTGTACACTAAAATTATAATGGTTGAATCGAACGAAACCGAAAACAAATGAGAACGAGTTTTAAATCAAGCTCCTTCTGGTGTACTGTTTTCGCAAATGAATCACTCAATTCCTGAAAATTTTGAACTGAGATATTTGAAGAAATACAACTATCCTGAATGTTTTCTTGAATATTCAAGAATTTGAGAGGAAGAAGTATATACTATTCGTTGTTATGGAAGTTGGATTGTCAAATGCAGTAATATTTCTGGAAATTCCCCTTAAATGAATAAATTTTCGACATATTTTCAATTTTAAAGTGACAACACAAATATCTCAGAAATGAAACAAGTACTTTCCCCATCGCAACACGTCTTTCAATATACCTACAATATCTGCTTGAGGCAGATTACTGCATTGAAGAGCCGTAAGAAGATGTTAATCACCGAAGCACTCGTTGGAATTTTGTTGTGGAATTGGCCGCGGTGGTAGTGCGCTCGATTCACGATCGGAAGGCCGTGGGTTCAATTCCCGCCTTAACCAGATATTTTTCGAGAAAATTCATCCGGGGGAAGCTGGGATGAATCCGCAACCGTGTTAGGAATCACACGTTGAAAGGTAAGACCTCGTTAGTCCTTAGCTCGCACAAGTTTCTCAACTTCTGAAAGTTGTCGTTCGTATGAGGGTGACAGCTGATGAAATGTGACTTGTCATTACGCAATGACAATCTCAAAAAACTTTTACAACTTTTCATTAACAGTGGTTACCCAAAAAAACTCTTACATAAATTAATCTTCAATAGGTCATCCATAGATATTGATCCCCTCAGTTCAAATAATCTAATCAATCATTACATAATGTAAAGTTTTTATTTTCATGTTGTTTTTTACCAAGAGTGTTTGTCGTTTGGGAAATGTTATGTTTACAAATCGCGAAAACGAAACATATCGAATATCTTAAAAACACATGTGTTCTGTGAAAAATGCAAAAACACGTCGATTTGTAATCCAAGGGGGACATCATAACCTCAACTGTACCTCTTCCTTCACCCCTCGGTGACTATCAGCGAAACAATTTGAATAGGGAAAGTAGTAAGTGTGACACATCTTTAAAAAGGTAATTTCATAAGGAATTTAGCCATGTCAGATTTAGCTACCTAATTTTCGATTTTGACGTTTTTTGCGGGAAAAAAATTGTTCTGTATTCCAAATTATGATACTTCATTCGCAAGATAATTGGACATGAATTCGGTTATGGAGTTTTTCTAGGGGAAAAACAAGATGGCGGCTTCACAATGGCGGACAAGATTTGCAATAATGGTCGGATTTGATTCAAAATTGACAAGTGGTGGTTTTCAGGGTCGGAAATTATGAATTGTTTTTCAATGCAAAAAATCAAGATGGGGGCTCCAAAATGGCGGACGAAATTTGTAATTATGGTTCGATTTAACTCGACACCGAAAACGAATTCTTCAAAACACATGTGTTGTGAACAAAATGCAAAAACCCGTCAATTTTAAATCCAAGGGGGACGAATCTCATCGTTACCTCAACTGTTATACTTCTCTCCCCACCCCTTGTTCACTCATACAATTTGATTAGGGAAAGTACTAAGGGTGAAATAGCATTGAAAAGATTATTCCATAAGGAATTCAGACATGCGAGTGTTCGCTACTTAACTTTTCATTTTGGCGCTCTATTGCAGGAAAAACAATTGTTTGGTTTTTCATTTCACATTTTATTTGAAAGGTAATGTGAACAATTCACGAAAAAAAAACAAACATTGAAAAAATTACATAACTTGAAAATTGAAAAATTGTATATAAATTTAACTAAGATCATTCCAAACTAAATTGATTCATAGTAGATGCTCGAAGTGTTCTCCATTCACTGCCATACATGGGTATAAGTTCGTCTCAAAACGTTGTCTGACGTTTTGGAGCATGTCTGGGGTTATTTGACGACATTCGGTAATAATACGTTGATGTAACTCTGCTAACGAACCTGGCTGAGTGGCGTATATTTTACTTTTTAAATGGCCCCAAAAAAAGTAATCTAAGGGAGATAAATCTGGAGATCGGGGGGCCATTCAATGCATCCTCTTCTTCCAATCCAGTGTCTGTGAAATATTTCATCCAGGTACTGGAGGAGCTCCGTCCTGTTGGAATATTTGGTGATCCTCAAGGTATGTCCTCAAGGTATGTCCGTTAACGTTGGATCAACGGTATCTTCGAGTAATTCCAAATACATATCCCCAGTCAAATTACCTGGTAGAAAAAATGGACCAATAATACGATCGCCAAATATTCCAGCACAAACATTCAATTTTCGTGGGGATTGCGTATGTAATTGGTGAAACACTCTTGGATTGCAATCTGACCAGTACCGACAATTATGTCGATTGACAATCCCGTTGAGATAAAAACTGCATTCATCCGAAAAACAAATATTGAAATCGAAATTTGGATCTTGTATAGCACGTTCACTCTTGATTTCAGAAAATTGTATTCGACGATCAAAGTCGTTTTCGTTAAGTTCCTGAACCAGTTTAATTTTGTATGGATGGAATTTGTGAGCTTTCAAAATTCACCCGATGGTACGTCGACTTACTCCAAATAATTCGGCAAGCTTTCGTGTACAAAGAGTTGGAACCGCAGCAACCTGTCCTAAAACTGTACGTTTTTGTTTGGGTGTTGCTCATTGAAAATTCTACTGGCTTTGTTGGCACATTCATTATTTTTGAAATATTGAATTATTCCTACCCTATCCTGAATAGAATAAACCATTATTTATTTCACTCGTTAATGTACCTGACGTACTACTGTCAAGAAACTGACACAAATAAGCACTGAAACGAAAGGTTTTTTTTATTACACCAATACATAGGCTCAGTAAGTCAATTGTTATTCCAAAGGTACGAATGTCATCAAGTAACTTCAGATATGATCAAAAACGTCAGACGGCGTTTCGAGAATAACTTACTCATTTATGGTATCTTTCTGGTATCCAAGTGTTGTCCATCCTTACACTTGTTGGGGCACGGTGAATAAGCTGATTATCCACATCCGGCGAGTTACAAAAACGTTGAACAAGCGATCGATTCACCGGCGATGTTATTCCGCTGCCGTTATATATATTTCAGTTTATTGTATTCGTTTGAAAATGTCTTTATAGGACGAAACAGTAAAGGGCGCAAAACTCCTAAATATTCTGCTGATGCCTGAGTTACCCTTTTGAATCCAAGGAGTTTATTCCTTGTAGAATGTTACCAAAGAATAGTTAAGAGTACAGCAGGGATGACGTCGTCTACGTCTACGCACACTGCGACAGGACGGCACAGGGCGGGAACATGACGGGGTATGACCTTCGACCGGAGACAGCATGGTAGTGACCTGGCTCGTTTTATTCCCGTCCTGGCATGTGCTTATCCGTTGCCTGCCTCAGTGTGCGCTCCTTCCTGTGAAACTATAGGAAGAAACACAAAACGTTACTTCATGTTTCCGTCCTGTCGCAGGGTACATCGGACTTAAGTGTGCGTTCCTCTATCACAAACTATAGAAAGAGAAAATAAACTTCACGTCATGTTCCCGTCCCGGCATTTTCCCGCCCTGTCGCAGTGTGCGTAGACTTTAATAGGCCTATTCACAAGTCAGTGTCGTCTGAATCATCACATGAAGAGACTGACTTTCGAATAAGTGCTTTCTCAGTTTAAAATATGTCGAAAACAGATGAGGACATACTTTGTGCCTGCCAAAGCATACTGAATCAGGTTTTCAATGGCCCCCCCATCGAGCCTGAAAGATAATTCACCAAACATACTAATCAGCTTTCTTAAGCTGACTTATTTGGTGGTGTTCGAAATAGTCTAAGCTACAATAAACTCTCGCAAGTTTACTGTGTGATCTTTTGATCTACCCTAAACTACACCCTTTATAAATTGAGGGAAACGCATTTCATAAAGAAAGTTAACAATTGACCGTAAAAGATACTTGCTGCTTTTAATGACTTCCATTCAGAATTCAAAATTTTACTGAAGAACAGTAATTATGGTTTGCATTTCACATTATCCCAAAACTTCCTAATCATATTTGCTATCCCTTAAAAACTGAGGTCCTTGGAAAAACCCAATTATACCTTCACTTGACTCAGAGATGAGCGAAATCTAAGTTTGTCTGCTTCATGGAACAGAGCAGATGGCTTTGACAGATAGAGCAGCAAAAGTTTTCTGACGGACTTGAGTGTGAACTTTTTTGTGAAAATTTCACAATGATATAATTTAAAAAATTCATGTCCAGAATGATAGGAATGCTCTTCAGTATTATGTGTTCCGGTTACTATTTCAGAAACAAAATTGGAATAAAGAGACTAATTACACAATAATTTTTATTAATTTATGTACATTCAGAATTTAAAAATTTGTAACATAAGAAATAACAAAATCTTTCAAAGTGTACATTTTTGCTTCACAAATATATTTTTGTAACAAGCTACGACACACAACAATCATTAGGTATGCAGAATAATACAATTTCAGTGTATAGAATATACTGAATTTATAATTATAACTAAATGATTTTACAGATACTTCAAATTCAACAATCTTTGGTAGAGTAAAAAAAATGTTCAACACATTCAATTTTTGAAAGGGACCTACTAATACTCTAATGAGGAATATATACAACTTCCATTTACCTATCGTGAACTGAGGGTTGTCTAAACTCTCACTTTATAGTTCAGAATGTGATTAATCATTAGGAATTTCATTTCTTCACCAAAAACAAAACAATAATTTAACTGTGGACTCCGATTCATATCACCGACTGGATTATGTGAAGTGAATGTCTAGTAGATTAAATTAGGAATGATTGAATTGAACCAAAATTTTGATGTCGGTTGTGTTCATCAAGAGTATATATTTATGTAAATAATTCTGAAATTATATCATTTCAGAATTGATAATAAGAATTGACGTGATTCTAAAGGGTTTAAAATTATTACTCGATGGAAATATAAGGTATTGGCACATACAAAAATAATAATAATTGTCAATTATTGTCAACACTACTAACTAAATTCCATTTTCACCTCTTCAAAAATGTGTTTCAAATTCGTAACACAATATTATGATAAAATATTACCATTGTTCCAGACATCTGAAATTAGGTTTCGAAAACTCAACAGTAAAAGAGAAGTTGTGTATTTGACACGCATTCTAGATGCTAGAACTGAATTTTATCAAGTTACAGATTTCTGTTGAATCAGCGTGATCACTCAAATAAATCAATATGCATGGTTTTTAGACCCAATTTAGGTAAGAGCGGTTTAAGAATCCAGTTCATATCGGTTTGCGTTCCAAATAAGTTACGATATTTCATGGTTATTTTTTTTCTATTTTCCTAGTAATATAATACCGCTCCTTAACTCCTTAACTCTTCGATTAGATCGCAAGGATGTATTGTAGAGTTAATCGACCTAATCTCGTTCACTGTGGTGATACTGACCAGTCTGGCTGTCAAATAACGACATTTTGAGTCGTTTGCATTTTGCTCTTCTGTTTTTGAACCAAAACTGGACGTTCTTGGGCTCCAGTCTCGGAAATTTCTGCCGATATGCCATGCAGTTTAATTCCTCAGTATATTTCAGTATCAAATTATGTGAAGGATGCGTGTTGAGCGAGAACCACTGTTCCAATCGCGGTACTTCGGTAACGGGATCTATGAAAGTGCGATTTCTCTTTCTGCGTTCGTCCGCCGTGAGACTCGAGAGAGCTAGCGCACTTGAACCAGGAGGAGAAGTCGCCGAATGGGACAACCCCGGCATATAATGACTCATATACATAATACTATGGCTAAACATGGAACTAGGAATGACTGGAAATCCCGCCGCTAATCTGTCCAACCCGTCTGGGGCACGGTGAATAAGCTGATTATCCACATCCGGCGAGTTACAAAAACGTTGAACAAGCGATCGATTCACCGGCGATGTTATTCCGCTGCCGTCAAAATTACTCTTGTTGTCGTTGTCTGCTTCCACGTCGTCTTCTTCCATGTCCGATAGTGGTATTTTATTGTTGTTTATTTGGTCTCTGGAGTTGAAATCATTGGGCTCATCTTTGGTTGCTTCCCTGCTATTGTCGACCTGAAAAAAATAAACAGTTGCTCAGTCGATATTGAAGAATATAGTACTCGGGACCCAATGCAGATAAAATGTGATATGAAGAATGGAAAAACAGAAACAAAAAAAGGAATTTTCATATTGAGACTGGTTTGAAGGTAACATCCCTACCATGTCTTCAGTCCGGCCTAAAGACGAACATTACCCCCTAAGAAACAAGAGGATATGTTTTAGTTTTTGTTATGTACAGGGTATTTTTTAACATGTGGCAAAAATTTATGGGACTATTCCTTGGACAATTCTAAGGATATTTTGTTAGGGCGCTTTGTTTCGAAGATACGGAGCGAAAAAGAATCTCGACAATAACAATTAATTTCATGTAAATTACATGTAATGTTTCTTAATCTACAAGAACTGTCGAAAATGACTACTCCCGCTCGCATGCAAGAATCCACACTTCTCCTTATCGACTCCCTAACTCCTTCAAAAACACCAGGATTACTTACGAGATATACTATTCAAATTGATGTCTGCAGACATTTGTAGTAATCGAAATGTTGATAGGTACCAACGGGATTGTTAGATTTTTTATTACTTGGTAGGTCCAGTGTAGCACGCTATACTTTCATTCCGGCTACGTTAATAATTTTAAAATTACAAAATTGTTATTTTCAAAGTTCTTTTTCGCCCCGTATTTTCCAAGGAATAGTCCATCAATTTTTGCCGCATATTTAATAAACACTCTGTATATGTGACTTGTAGGTATTGATACAGAGAATATACAGCAGTGATTTTGGTTTATATCTTCAAAAATGTTTTTCATGATGCTGGAATACTACAGGATGCAGTTTTTGCACCAAAGATATTTTTGTTTCATACAAACTATCTACCCAGAACATTACGCTCAATACTGCCTGGTCATCAAAAACTCTGCTATCGTTCTGCAGACAGGAGAATTGAATGAATATTGCAGAATGAGTTGCTACCAATTGTCAGTCGAATGCTGTTAAGTGGCACACTTGTATCTACCAAAATATCCAGAAATCTGAGTCATCATTATCCATGTTGGGAGTTCCGATCAGTAGTCAGTTACACAATAATTTGTTCAGAGGGGTTCAATAACTGATAGAGCAATGCTGTAAGTAAACATCCCATCAAAATGCCTTCTATGAGATCGACAGAAAACTCAAACTTTACTTATCTTAAATTAATGAAAGTCCCCCCAGAGTAATGATCCATTAGTCTATTAGTATAAATAACAACATAATTTTTTGTTGATCACGCTCGCTGTCTGCATTAGACACCGGTCTGGTGGAAAAAGACAACTTGTACCTACTTGGATATCCGGTGGAGGTGGAGGTGTGGAAGACCTAGGGCTCCCGTCTCTTGAATCTTTCCTGGTCGTCAAAGATAATGGTCCAGTAGGGCTAGGCGGTTGTCCTTCGTTTATATCTTCGTCATCCATATCAGACCCTGCGTTCGAAAACTCATCGGAAGTATGGGAATTATGCAACCCACGCCTCGATAAGCTATTTTTCAGTCTGTGATCGTTCAGTCGATCAGAATTCAGATAGTTTTCCGCCAATAGAAAACCGCCTCCATTTGGTGGGCTGTGATTATAACCGTTCACCGCCATATGGCACTGTAAGTTCGGTGTGGTCACGTTTCTTATCTCGGCTCTTTTTTGAGCTGCTCTCGCATTTTTGAACCAATATACAACGTTATTGATGTCTAGCGGCTTCCGGCCTCTCCTCGATTCAAGATTGTTCAGTTCTTTGACGTATTGCTGTATTTGCTGCCGACTAGGATGCTGGTTTTCGGTGAACCACCGCTGGAGTTTGGGCAGTTCCAGTTCAGGATCGAAGCTTGTTCTCATCCTGGTCTTTTGCGTCGGAAATTGACTGTGAACTGTTTGCATGGCAGGGTGCGAATCTGTTATGGAACGCTCCAGCGGAGTTGGAGCTTGAGAAGACACGGGGTAGTGGGTGGGGTAAGATGGAACGAACTGTGATCTACCAGCTGGTGACTGAGGACTGCACTGACTTGCCCACCACTGATCGAACTTCCTACGACTTTCTTCTGATATCTCCGGCATGGGACCTGAAGAAGGAATGCTGTTTCTGCAGATCTGCGACAGTAGTATCTGAAACAGAAACAAAAACTTGATAAAAGCAGATACTTTTCAATTGTGTTAGTTACAATATTTAACTCCATAACGAGTGGACCAATTTTCAATTCGAATCATTCACAACGAAGTAGTAATGCAATCAGATTACGAAATATTGAGAATCAATTCCTTGATGATGACCGAAAAATCGCATGGCGGGAACGCCATTTTTAGTGTTGCCAGATCTACTGTTTTTGCAGAAGATCTATTTTAGCTCTCAAGTTTCTGTTCTTATGCTCGAGGGTTGACTCAGTTCACTGTCTATAAAAATGTTAAGTGACTGTAAATAGTAGAAATGACCGGCACCCGATGAAAAAACAACAACTGTCCCAGCTAATGCCGCGCAGAAAGCTGAAGTACACATCAGGCATCTGTGCAACGTCTTCCATTTGAAAGATTCATCGCAATTTACTTCATATATATGAAAATCATAAATTAATTGGATTTTTTTGGGATAGTCTGAAATTACCTGCACGGTACTGATGAGCAATTACTCCAAAACCGGTCTATTGATGAAATCAAATGATATCAATCCATTGTNGCATGTGGTAGAACACACACCCCAAAAGCAAATACCATAACGGAGGTGTGGTTCAAAAAGGGAATGATAAACCATTCTAGCTTCTGCAGATCCGAGCTCAAATGCAGTTACTCGTATGGCATAACATCCAGAGGAGAGCTTCGATTTCAAAGTATCTACATGATTGTTGAATTTTAAACTATTGTCAATGAACAAGCCAAGGAATTTAGAAGCTGGTACGTTATCTATTTGAATATTATTTAGATGTACGGCTGGAATCTGGCAACGATAGGACACTACTTTTGTTTTTGATAAATTCAAGCTCAAGAGATTTGAGTCAAACCAGTCCTTCACTATCGTGATGTCATTCTCAATAACTTCATACAACGTATGGTTGTTAGGAGCATGCCATAAAATTGTAGTATCATCAGCAAATAAAGTGAATTTTCCTTGGATGTTTATAGACGATAGGTCATTAATGTAAATTAAAAATAAAAGTGGGCCCAGTACCGAACCTTGTGGGACGCCGCAAGTAATTTTACCTTCATTTGAGTATGAAGTGGTTTTGACCATCTGGGTGCGATCTGCTAAGTATGACTCAAACCATTTAAGACTTATTCCAGTTATACCGTATCTACTGAGTTTCCGCAAAAGAATTTTATGCCGGGTGGTTTGGTTATACTGGAATTTATAATAAAAAATGGGTTTATTCAACAATTTCAACAATAAATCAAATGGAATGAGGATATTTTTCAACCAAATATTCTTTAAAATAGTGAATTTTCATTTCGTCTTAATGAGTTTTCCGAACGACGCCTTTTTTATACAGGGGTAAACAAAACTCGAAATTACTTTTTCCTAGTTTTATCAAACGGAACACCCTATACATAGGGACATCTCTTTTAAATATCTGTTTTTTCGTTAACCAGCTGTCACACCCCTACGAACGACAACCCTCAGAAGTTGAAACTTGTGCGAGCTAAGGATTAACGAGGTCTTACCTTTTAACGTGTGATTCGTAACAACTCGGAATAGTCACATAATGGGCTTTGAGAAAATCGGAAGTGTATTTGACTTTTCAGGAAAGTAGGCCAATCTCTCAACAAGATAATAGAAGTCTGAGGAAACTAGGTCTGGTGATATTACTGCTCCTGCAGAAATGTATCAGTTGCGATTCCAAACATTCCACACAATCATCTGATATTTTGTAAACACATTTAGTTTTGATGACAATACAATTTAATATATTCTGTACCATTGTACATCCAAGATGGCCGCAGCTACAAAATGGCGGATTACGTATTTTTTCACAACTACTTTAATTTGCATTTCATTAGTTCGGACTTTCATTGTCTAATATCATCCGAAGGCGATTGTGGATACAATCGAAACGTCGCGTCGTGAAGTAATTTGATTCGGAGTCTTTTAATTTTTAATTTTCATTTCTTGGTAATAATTTTTAATTTTCATCTCGTGATAGTTACATTTTTTGATTTTTTGATTGTTGCTTGTATTTTATTTAAAAGTAATTTCAGTTTTTTTGCTTGATATAATTGTTATTTTTTTAGCTCATCTTTTCAATTCTTTATAGATTCTTTCAGGGAGATCAAGATCAATTTATATCATATTAGACAATGGAAGTCCGAACTAATGAAATGCACCACGAAACATTGTCAACCACTTTCAAACGTACTTTAATATTGTATCATATGGTATCAAATAACATGGCTTGACTGGTAGGGTAGTGGTATACTTTGAAAAGGATTCAAATTTGAGATGGCCGCAGCTAAAAAATGGCGAAATATAAATTTTTCACAACTGCCTCAATATGGGTATCGAATGATAGTGCTTGAATCGTAGAATAGTAGTGCACTTTGAAAAAGTTGCATATTGAAGATGGCCTCAGCTTTAAAATGGCGGATCCCACATTACCTTATAATACTGAAGCACTAAATCAAGTAATTAATTAAGTAACAAAATAACGAACTGAAAACTTGAGGATAAAATAAGTCAAACAAAATTTTGTTGAACGGAAAAAAAAATATAATAATGATGTAGGTAATGTGCTTAAAACTAAAAATAATTCAGAAGGTAGCAGTCATCACACCACTATTCTCAGTAATCAGTAGAATGTATGCTGTTAGATATTCTTATTGAAGGTCTAAACAACCAAAGAGTTTTTGCAGTGATAAAGGACGCTTTGACGATATTAAGCAGTGTCAAGCATAAGAAAAGGCAAGTACTAAATGAAATTGTAACAAATGGAAAAAATGAATTAGCGGTCATACTTTCATTAGTTCAAAACCCTCGTTAAAGTACGAGGAAAGAGAGTTGGATATAAGTCATACTTCCGTGAAGAGAATTGAGTCACATCAAGAACTGTATGAAACGGATTACGACACCAGAGTTTGGTATGCCGAAAATTTATCGAATACAATTAGCGAAGAACTGAATATTTTGAAATACGTTTTGTTTTCTGATGAGTCCACATTTGAGAGTCATGGCATAGTAAATAGATATAATTCACTACTACCCAACAGTGAACCCCCAACGGATGAGAGAAGTCGATAACCAAAATAGATGATCGATAAAATTTGGGAAAAGAATAATTGAAGATTAGTGAATAATTGAAGTGTTAGGACCATAATTCTTTGATTGGCCTCTGAATGGAGAAAATATTTTTTTAGATTTAATATCCAACATTAAAAAAAAATGTCATACAGTAAGATACGTTGTCTTTTGTCACTTCCTAACTGGACTTTCTGTAATCCTCCATACTTTTGTTGTTCACTGCGTACAATGCATTAATTTCAAAAGAGAATGATTCTTTGAAGCCTACAGAAGTATTCCCTATCCTTTTGTTGCGGTTTATCAGGAGTTAGATATTCAAAGTTCATCCTCTCTTATCCCGTCCACAAAGCTACAGGAACTGAGTCAAAAATAGATTCAGAAGTCACCGGAGAACGAGCCAACTGATAGTCCAGTGAAATTGAGCACTTCTTTCAACGATGTCAGGAAGAGTGTGCGGTTGGCCAGTAAATAGCAGAACATCAGTTTCAATTTTTATTTATAACTTCTTAGTAAAATACTTTTCTCTTTCTTTCCAGAAAATGTCTGTAACATTGTTGAAGTCTTGTTCATTGTGCTGAGGAATTCATCAGGTTTGGAAATAGCTGATTTTATACTCGCTATGTCAGTATAATCTACACAAGCAGAGATGCAACATAGGTTAGAGGACCGAGTGTAGTGTAACATATCCTTAAGACCCTGCGAAAACTTAGTTTCTTCTGTAATTCTTGTTTGTGAACTTAAATATGTTCAATTTCCTTCATTCGTCAAGAAATGGCGATGGCGTTCGATTCAGATCACAAAATATTGTGTTTTTTTATTATTTCATGTCTGGCAGTCTAGACGAATTCAATATGCGACTTTGACTGTAACATCATATTTTTTTATGAATTATGATCCTACAAGTCATGTGCAACTGTAAAATGCGCAATGGCATGAATTTTCGTTTTTATTTATGCCCTATCCCGAGAAAAATCGATCATAAAAATCTTCGAAATGTAGCAAACATACAGATGAGCAAAAAAGTTATGAATAAACTACATACCGATAAAAACAAAAAGTTATTTTATAAACTACAACTCACGATTTCATCTCCACAAACTTTATTTGAAAAATATATCACATGTTTCGCTAAGACAGTAGCTTTATCAACAGTGATTGATATCACTGTTGCGAAACATGTGATATATTTTTCAAATAAAGTTTGTGGAGATCAAATCATGAGTTGTAGTTTGTGAAATTACTAAGGATCTTCATCATGTAACGGCCGAATCAATCAGAAAAACAAAAAGTTATATTATGATGAAAGCAAACCCGAAAATGACAGCTTGTATCAAAAACAGAAGTCAATATGAAACATAGTCAAGAAACTGAAAAATAAAAGCAGATATTTAAAATTTGAAATACATATTCTGATGAGGCGTAAAAACAACCTTAAGTAATCGCAAATGCTTTCCAAAAATATTTTTTTAAATTGTGCCGTTAATTGCCATGAACACTCTGATTCGAAATTCTCTTATGTTTATACAACACAGTATCATTCTATTTTCGTCCTGTTATTGTCTGTAACATGATAGATGAAACAAGCAACATAAAAAATTCGATATCAATGAGAATCGACCCAACTTAATTGCTGTATATATTAGCTTACTTCTATTAAAAAAAATACACTGAAGATATTGAGATACAGTTCTGGAACAAATTACACGTATACATATTGTATATTAAGAATATATCAAAATATATCATGGCTGCGGTTCTGGCAAATCGTTTTTCAGTCTGTATTTATGATTTCTATATGTACATATTTTTTTAGCTTGTCCATGAAGAACGTTGCCGTTATTTTGGAGACAAAGAAGCTAGAAGTTCGCCCTCTAGAAGATTCTAG